TGACCCTTAGACTTAATGCACTTAGTGAAGGAGTATATTCTTTGTAAATAAGAGGCAGGCTTCCAGTGAGAGACACTTTTTAGTCCAGCATCAGTGGTAACAGCCAGACTGAATTATTTCACAAAGCTATGCAACAATAAGGGAGTTGGACATGAGGAAAACAATTTGTACCAAGCCTGACAAGCAGAGGGCCAAGGTCAGTGTCATTCTACAGTCTAGACTGCTGTGAGGAATCAGTTAGGGACATTTTGCAGTGTTCATCTTTTTACAGCTACTCTGAAGTAAGAGCCTTTTTTATTACTGAAACCATACTCTGAAGAATGTAACTTTTTGCTTTTAAATGGGCAGATGTGTATCAATTGAGGGTGGTGAGGCACTGGAATAGGTTGCCCAAGGAAGTTGTGAATGCTCCAACCCTGGAGGAGTTTAAGGCCAGGCTGGACAGAGCCTTGGGCAACATAGTTTAGTGTGTGGTGTCCCTGCTCATGGCAGGGGGGTTGGAACTAGATGATCTTAAGGTCCTTTCCAACCCTAACTATTCTATGATTCTATGATTCTATATTCTGGTCACAGTGACAGGATGTGGTCAGTTCACAGTTCCATTCTTGGGAGGCAGGTCAGTGCAGTGAAAATGGGGAGGTGGAAAGTGGCCCCAGGCCAGAGAAGGGGAGGGCAGGTCTTTAATTTTCAGTACTGGCCCACACAGATGGAATTAAAGCAGCTGAAGGTGAAGAAGAATATTGTTCAAGTAACCAAGGTGACCACTGGACCGCAGCAATGTTATTGTCCCTGCTAATTACATTTATTGCAAGATTTGGCAGAGTTCTTTATAGGAAGGTATTATTATTTTTGACTACTAAGAGTATTTCTTAGTAGCTGAGCTGGCATCCTTCATCTGTTTGAATTCTGTTTATTCTGCCAGTTATATGGGAACCACTGTGCAGCTGTGTTAATCTGACAAGTACTATACATAAAGAGAAAAACTCACCCGTAACATAAGCCCACAACAATCACCCCCAAAACAAAGAAACAAACAACCCCTCTACCCACCAACAGGTATCAGAAGTAGTGTAGCAGGAGATAACATCATCAAGGTGAAGGAGATAGGAGATGAGTGTTAAGAAATAATTAGAGAATGCTGAATTATCATAAGGAACTACCAGAAAAAAACCCCAACCAGCCGAACACTGGTTCCAGAAAAACTTGTTCAGCTTAGTATAAAATAATAAAACTGTCACTATTACTTTATAGTTCTGAGTCTTTTTGCAGTACTATGGTTAACTCTCCTTAATCAATATAGCAATAAATATACTCTACCTGAGTTTTCATGAAAAGTAGACTCACATTATCATTTGAATTAGTCAGTTGAAGCTTATGGAAAACCTAACAGAAAAATACTCATGCTAGAACAGTACAATAGCAGTTCTGCTATTTGGAACAGGAGAATGCATGTATTATGTGTTATATGTATGTTTTGGTAGTGGTGCTTTCAGCTGTACTTTGTTATGACTTCAGAGTTCAATAGGGTTAAAGTCTTAGAGATGATATTTGGTGTTTGCTTATTTAAGGAAACTTTAATGACTTTTCAAGTTTAACTTGAGAAATATGAGAGTATTATTTGAGGATTAAAGGACTGTATGAGCTTGAATACTGACAAAAGGTAATATAAAAATAAAGGGCTTTTTACCTTCTGAAAAGTTATGTTTCCTTGTGCCAAAATGAAGACGTTGAAGTGCCACAGAGACTTTAAAGCTCTGCTTGACAAGGGCTGAATTAACAGTAATTGTCACAAATGTTGGATATGTGAAGACAAATAAAATATTTTTGCTGTGGCCATTAGTTGAAAATGAAAGTGAATCTTTCTGGGACTGTATGGCGATCTGTCAGTTGGGTTTCTATGAAGGGAGCAAACCATTTTATGTGGGCCTTTCAGAGTTTTGTAGGAAAAGGTCGTGTTCATCAAGATTTGGCCTTATAGGGCTAAATTTCAAGCTACTTTCTCCCTTGTCCTTGAAAGCCACAGTTAGCATTATTGATCATCACAGAGTTTAGCCATCATCATGGCTCGCTGTGTTTCTGTAATTCTAGCCACCAAGCTCAAAATACAGAGGTAGAGCAGACAAAAGACATACTTATTCCAGCTTGGTTTTCTAAGTTTTCCAAGGGAATGTATGCTACTTATTGTCTGCACAGTAAGGGAGGATGGCATTTTTCAGAAGTGTTAATAAATCCCAGACATCGCAGGAAAACCTTAGATTTGGAGAATAAGAACAGAGAAGTGGGTAGGGAAGTAAGACCATTTGCATGCATGGATTTTTGTGCTGTTTATGGCATGACAGGTGTGGTCTGCCCTTCACTATTGTGCAGGAGAATGGCTCAGAACGTTTCTGTTAATTCCTGTTGAGAGGCAGGAATTGGAAGCAGAATTGTCTACCTGGTACCTTTCATAATTAGGAAGATGGAAGTTGAAATTGGATAGAAGAGAGCGATACAAAAGCTACGGGGGAAAAAAGCTTTTACAACAGATGACATTAAATTTATTGTGGCTGTTACTTGAGCTTGGGAAGCCTTGCAGCTTTATACTGTGAATGAACTTGAAGTACTTTTATTATTTATTTTCACCAAAGACAAAGAAAATTTGTTGTTGTTTGTTTTCATTATTTATATTTTTAAGATAATGCTGAGAACCAAGCCCTGTTAAAAATGAGTTACAGTGTAAATGAAGCCACCTAAGGTTATGTGGCAGATTTGGTTGTGTTAAAGTCCATTTTGGACAACAGAGCTGACCTTTCAGCTTCACAGTATTTCTAACTAAGGGATTCTGTGTGCTTTGGCTGACTTGAGATTAAAAGGGCAAGTTCATACTGAATCTGTTAACAGAAAAACTCTGTTTATGCTTTTATCATGCTTTCAGAAACCCTCCTCTGTTTTTAGCTGAACCTGAAATTTTATCCAGTACTGATCAGGAGTTATGTACACAAAGAACATACTTGTGTGGTTTTTAGTACGGGATTTTCTACGTATTAATATCACAATACCTGTCTACCTAACAAATTAGAGATTTGACCCCACAAGCTGAATTTCTAGCTCAAACACTGTGATAGCACTTGATTTTGTACATGCCAGAATGTTACATCTTGCACTGTCTACAGTTAGAACTGTAGGTGTTGAGAACATTTGGACATGATCAAATGGAAGCATGAAAATTAGAGGCGAGCTATGGACCATTTAAAATAGATATTTGGCACGTAAAGAATGAGGTTTTACAGCATAGTCTTTCATAAAAGGTTTTTCCAAGGATCTACTCATGAGAAAGAGATGATTCCTTAAAATGTATTTAACATTTTATATCATGCGGTGAAGGATTCATATCCACAGTCCTTATATACATTTTTGTCATTAGAAAGCGTAATTTTATGACACTTGTCTTTATGGTAGCTTTCACAAAGTGTAAAAAATGTTTGAAATGGAACAGTGATTTTATTTTTATAAAATGTACTATTTATACTGACAAAATTGATAAGAAGCGAGGAGCTTGCGTTCAGTCTCTTAATTTCCATTAAGCAGTGGTACACGTTTTAATAGGTTCCTGTGCAGTGCAGTCACCTAGGAATATTTTTTTATGTCATTACTCTTTTTTAATTACTGTCTGTGCAGGAACTGTGCAGAATGAACTCTGCCCTGCTTCCTCTGTCTTTTGTCAGTTTTTCTCTTTTCCTTGAGTATATTCTCTCTTTTCCAGTATGGAATCTAATACCTTAAAAAGTTTTGGGTTTTTTTTCCTTCTTCTACCCAGCGGAATGTAGTGATAATATTACCTGATGAGTTTGTTGAATTTGACGGATTATGTGTAAAGTGAAATGTTATCTTCAGTAAAATACAATACAAAAGAACATATTTTCAGGATAGGGATTTAAACAATGAACTGTACAATAAACGTAATTTATGATGATGATGAGAATTGAACTGCTTTTGTAGTAACCAGGAAACTTCATTGATTTGTGGGTTTTATTCTAAACTAATCCTCAGTATTTGGAAAAATGTATTTTTAATAGACGAAGTTAATGAATTTAATACGAAACTGGAGAGTGCCAATACTCAACTATAATGTGGTGCTCCACGTAGGAAATATGTTCATATTTTAGAAAATATTAGGTTTGTTTGGTACACCTAAACCTCCTTCATGAAAACTCATTCTTGAGAGTCGTTTCAGTGCCTTTTTTCTGATTGTAAAGATGAGCTCATGAATATTTTTACTGTCAATATCTATGTCAAACTCTGCTTTCTGAACAAATGAAAGAAGTATTAAATAGGTCTGTCAGCATTCTGTTAGCCCCACTGAGACAAAATGCATCTTTACAAATATGTGAGTGCTGACTAAACAGATTGTGGTATCTGAAGCACATTTGGAAGAAATCAATGGTTTTTCCATTTGTGGTTGTGTTACACATGTGATGAAAAACCAGACTTCGCTATGTAGGAGTAGTACCTTATACACACAGTAATTAAAATAAACAAAACTGAAAAGTGAATGAAAAGTGAAAATTGACGGGAGTAAGAGTAGAACTTTTAAAAGCAAGATGCTTAAGAATAGTGTATAGATACAGTAAATGGGAATGTATTCTGGCACCCTTACTGTGAATGTGCTTGAGCTCTGTTTCTGGGCACGATTCACAGGTTTGGAATATAATCAGGCTAGAGCTTACACTGATTTGATTACTTTATATAAAGTTTAAGTGAGTCAGTTCATAAGGATACATTAACAGCAACAACTGGAAAGTAAATCCTTAAATATGCTAAAGGTGTAGAGAAAGATCTACCAAATACCTGTGAATTTATCTTAAAGTGGATTTAGATGCCCAAGTGTTCCAAGCAGTTTTTAGTCTCAACCATAAATTTCAATTACAATGCTTTGCTATTACCCATAGCAATTACCATTTAAAATTATCAGTGTTGAGAACTGTTGATCACTACCTAGGCATTTTCTTTGTCATCCCCAGGAAAGATGTCCAAAGACCGGGCTCTAAGGAAGCAGCAGCAATTGAATAATTTGGCATCAGCAGTGGCAAAGCTTGCTAAGCCTGGAGATGTGATTGTGGATTTTTGCAGTGGAGGGGTAATGTATATTTTTGTTTACATGATGTAATTTCTTTCAGCTTTCATCTTTGCAGTTCCAGATGGTTGCTGCTGCAAAGCGAAAGGACACAAGCTGAAATTTTAGCTGCTTTCAAAGATTCTGTCCCTGGTTAGGGGATGTTTATCATGTATGAGTCAACAACAGGGGACACTGAAAAGTGACTCAGATTTTGGTTTTTGTTTTCTTTTCACAGGGCCATGTTGGAATTGTTCTTGCTCACATGATGCCATCGTGTCAGGTAAATTCTGAATAAAAAATAGAGTATGGGCTTTTGGTCTCTGGTAATCATCTTAAAAAGATGTGCAATTAGGGAGAATAAATATGAAGATACAGTTGTCTCAGCAGAGGACTTAGATTTGAAACATGCACATTTTTAGCATAATCCCAAATGTGTGCTGTGCTTTCCTGAGAAAACAAAAGTTATAGAAAAATATAAAATATTTGCAAGCTGATTGATATTGGCAAGGATTAAATGTGTTCCATAGCTG